GACTTGGAAGACAATAGTGGCACCGCCAGGTGACTCGATGAACAGTGGTAAATGGAGTCTTTCAAAGGCTGAATAGAAAATCGTGAAAAAAAAGGGGGCGGGGGGGGGGGGTCATTCCTAGCCATCGTTCGCCCAACGGAAGGTGGAAGGGGAACTTCCTTTGTCAGTGAGCAACGTCAGGATTAGAACTGGAAATACATTGCCAGCAAGATGTCTGGCGGGTATTCATGACGAAGTTCTTTGACTGCCACAGGCATGTTCTTCCGCCTTAACAGTGTACTTTGCCTACACGACATCCACCCAGGCCCCATGGCTTCAGCCTGGTAGAGAAGGTCTTGGTGAATCAAGAAAGAAACTTAATCTTTGAATAAAACTATTGCCATACAGGTCAGCAGGGCATAGCCGTCCGGCTGATGCGAAGCTCAGTAATTGTGTGTTGAAATGGGTGATTGGGCTGTAGACAGGAGAAGAAAGCTAGGCCCAACTCTTTTTTGCGGCATTAGGGGACGTCTTCTTACTCCCCACTTCAGCGCCTCACGCACGCATCACGTATACAGGGGCAGGTCAAGGTCCTTGGATACGAATGAATGTTAAGAATGATTTTTTTATCGTTTTCGGGGACTTTCGACCGACTGACTAATTATGCTAAGTACAGGACCCTGATAAGAAAGTTAGGGAGTTGCTGTGAGGGACTATTTAGAGCAAATTCTTCCTAGCCATAGCACATACTTGCATGACCGGCAATTGCTTGACTCCCAGATGTTTCAAGTCCAAGCTAGGGACCAGCAGGCCGGGTGCCTATCGTCTTGCTCTGCATGGGAGTTTTGACCGAGTTGTATGCAGATTTGGCTCTAATTCTTTTTCGCGGCCTCATCAATCTCGATTTGCATCTGTGCCAGCTTTTCCGCTGCCTGCGCGATCTGCTCCGCGTCTGAGGGCTGGGGCCCTCTGCTTACTATTTCATTGAGAGCTTTAATCATCTCGTCAGTTGACTTGCTTCCAGACATGTCTGTCGTCGGTCTAGGGACGATCAAGGTGTTTATGAAGAGGATGAAGTAGGGTGGGAGTAGAATTCAGGGGCTCTTGACGTTGGCAGATAGTTCGAGACTTTAGTCCAAATCTGGGTTGCAAAGAAGATGTAGCGTTAAGTGCAGTATCTCTGCAGAAAATGCGAAGCAAGAAGTCAGATAGTTTTTCGGGAGAGAGTATATGGATAGGCACAAGGGAGAGAGGGCTGGACGTTCGGTTTTATGATCGGTAGCTTCAAGACCCGGAACCTCGCAGAAAGTTAGGTATCACGGATGAGGGACTAGAAGGGTTGGACAAGCTACTGCGAACAAGCGGGGCTTGGGAGATCTATGGTAGTACCGTCGAAATGATGCAATGAACAGTGATGTATGGAGTTGACGAAGAGGATAAAGAGCAAAGGGGGGTTCGCTCAAGCGCAGTGTTCAAATCCTGTTGCATCGTTTTGCGTTTGGTGTTTAAGGCGGTCTACCTGTGCTATTCAGAGATGAACAACTGTTGCCCAATGAAACCCATATGAGATTAATTCTCATTCATGAAGGTTCGTCAATGGGTTCTGGGGTTGCACGGGGGGCGGTTATATTGTCAGTAAAACGTCTAAGAGAACGTTCATAGTGGGCGTGTTGCTTATCACGAAGGCATAAACACCTGACCCGAATGACTTTTCTACTCTGCATTAAATTAAGCGTACTGAAGGGAATACCTATACATGCAAGGTGATGACTCTTATTGAAGGTAATGTCTCCTATTGAGCGTAATAAGTGAGTTATGGAAACCGCCCCCTGGAAAATACCATGCGGTCGCAACAAACATACGATTCTGATAAACTCGCGCACATACGGTAGACAGGATGATATGTCCCCAGCGGCTTGCCAAGCTTATTGTCAAAACGGCTTGGCTACATATCGAGGAGTAGCGGGCCGGCCGACCTTGATCTACTTCTGCGTAGGGTATGACTTGCTCTCTGCACAATGTGCGGCTTCAGTTTGGCGGTAGCCTACACTGCGCCCTTAGGTGTCGTAGCAGAAGCTCCCTCTCCTCACTCTCTTTCAACTGTTCCCATGCATGTCTGCTTTCTTCCATTTTTCCAAATCTCCTCTCAAAGCATCTATCACCTTCAGTGAAATCTCCGCTTGACTGTCGTCTTCCTGCTGCATATCTCTTTCCAAATCCTGTATTATCATCTTTAGAGCCTCGACCGTTCCAAGATTTTCCTTATTCGCTAACTGAGGAAGGCTTCGCGCTATGATGCGACTAATGCGGTCGTTTACCGCCTCCAACTTTTTATTCTCAGCCTCCATTTTGGCGATTTTCTCTTGGTGAGCTGCGACTGTTTCGTCTGAGGGAGAGTCTTTGCCTCCAGACATATCTTCGTCGCTTGGCGGGTCGTCAAGTTACTAAAGGGTATTTTCTGACGGAAGGAGACGCGAATGTAATTTTTATAGGCGGATTATAAAGTCGTTCGCTTTGAAACGTTTTCCTTATGGCTGTGACTTCTTAATATTGCTTAGAATTTGGCGCTGAACTGGGCAAATGAAGGTTGATTTTGCCTTGAAGCGTCCTGGCGTCGTGTGTGCTTGCTTAGATACAGAAGCTGTATGGAACGATCCGATGTTGGGACTTTGAAGCATTCGTATAATAGTCTGAACGAATCGCAAATAGTCTGATAGTATGAAGTTATTCGTGGGCTTTTATAATCGATAGGCATGGACCTGGGCCAACACAGCATAGCGTTGTAGGCAGTGACTGCAGGGGGCACCTGCTTTGAGCACCTTTGCTAGACATGAAATGTGGTAGCAACATCATGCGATTCGAAGAACAGCAATGAGTGGAGTTCCTAAACTTTTGCTGAGAAATCCAGGTAAAGGTAGCATCTGTCAATCGCAACACTTCACAAGTCCTTGCGTTTCTTTGACATTCGCGAGGGTGAACCTGATCACCCAAAGATGATCATCAGCCACCTCATGGACAGTGGCAAGCACACTTCCCAGTCATCCGCTATTGTAAGGTTGAAATGTACCAAGGCGGTAAAACTACCCTGAAGGCGTCTGTGTGAGTGTTCATGGTAAAGCTCTTTGACTACTGCAAACATGGGCTCCTAGCTGAGAAATGTCCTTTGTCTGTACAGCATCAAAATGGGCCGATGGCTTTGGTGCGGTAGAGAAAATCATGTGTAAATGAGGGGACAAAAGTGATGTTACATCAGAGATGCCCTCTGTTCAAGTATTCAAGGTCTGTATTCTGTGATCTCGAGCTTGCTTATTGCTCTACGGTGAAAGAAAGAGTGTGTTGACGTTTGTATCTGTCTCAGACAATCCCGTCCAGCCATGGCGACCCTCAAATGAAATGGATGAGAAGCGTATTCCTAGGCTCGCCCCAGTTCCATCTTCAATGAAGTGATGTCTCAAGCGTATCCGGACCATATCTCACCGGCAGTGAAGATTGCCTAACTTCGCGATGACTCGAGTACCTCAGGCACAAGGTGAGCCCATGATTCCCAGTCAAACTCTTTCGCAGTCGCTCCCTTTGCTATGATGTCTTTCAATAGCTCTTCTCGATCTCTTACTTCTTTCTTCAATTTTTCGTACCAGTCTTCATCCTTTTTGTCGCCCTTGTCCTCCTCGCGCTTGACCCGTATCTTCGAAGCAGCAACGAACCGTTGTGCCTTCTTCCTGTCGCTGGTGAATCGAGCCTTTGCCTTAGCTTGTTCGTCGCGATTGTGGGCTACCCTTTCCGCATCTATTGCATAAGCCGCGCCTGCTTGATCACTAGTCATTCCATCGAAGTTGATGCGGTCATTTTCGTCGTAGTAATTGGGCTTGGGATGGGACGAGTTGTCTGAGGAGCTTTCAGGCATTTTGAAATTACTCCACAAGCTAGCCTGTGAGGCCTCTAGAGGTTGAAATAGAGTGCGAGCAGGTGCGATATTCCTTTCTTCTGGAAGTTGACCCGGTTATCGACTATCATGAACCACTTTGTCTTGGCAAATCTCCTTGATGTTGGTTAGATCTGGATGCTGAGCTGACCGAGGGATGTTTAAATCTGTTGTAGGTGTTGTAGCAGCAGGTGAAACATTCACATCGAATACAGCATTCTGTCGCCGACTAGAGATAGTGGGTTTATGTATGCCTAGAGGGAATTGCCATGGAAGACGAGGATAGACATCGTGATTTATGGCCGGTGGGTATGTGACTCGAAATCTCACTGGAAGGCATCGTGAGCAAGTGAGAAATGGGAGAGTAAATCGCTTTTGGTCAGCAAAAGCTTGGAAGAACAGTAATATTAGCGTCAAAGAAATCAAATAGACACTAAATCAAGGATGAATTTGGAGAGTTCATAGAGGAGTTGGAATGGGTGAGTTTCTGGACAATAGTCATCCAGCTTCGTCTGGATTTTTCTGTTCAGTGCTCTCGTACCGACATGACCGTAAGGGAAACCCACGAACACGGCTTTTTCCTCGAAGAAGCCTTGTAGGGTGGCCTGCGATCATTCGACGGCGGTAAAGCTCCGGTATTGTAGGCGCCGAAACAATTGTTTCTGTCAGGCGGTCCTTCAGCCAGTGACATACACACCTCACTTCCAATCAATTCTCAGATTGTCCATAATGAATGTAGGTATCCTACTATTCTAACCGAAGAATCAGGAACCTTTTACGAAAGAAATTTGAAGACATTGAGGTAGGTAGAGCCAGGTGGTAGGTAGCGATGTGGCTCTCTGAACAGATATCCTTTGTTGTTATAATTCTGCCATGTACTCCGTTACCGCGGCCAAACTTGGTCCTCAGACACCATCATAGCACGCAGTTGATGAGGGATCTACCTCGATTAGTCGACTATGCTCAATGACCGCACAATCTTTTCATACCCCATCATTAGGTTGTTCCTTTAAATCTCCTCGTCAAGATTGCACGTAACAATATGCGTAGAACGGTACAGAGGCCCCATCCCCTACTCCTTCTTCCCAGTCCCAGCAAATCAAGAACACCAACCAAGTCTCGGCCACGCCTCATTGATCTCCCTCCGCGGATTCCCATGGCTCGTTCTCTCAAACCTACTTGCAAGCGAATGCCTACAAAGGTTATTATACAGCGTCGCGACATGAATCGGCTGGCCGATATAGTAATGGCACCGTCGGCGCTCATGTCCTGATGCCGGATGATGGCCTCTGCGACGACCTTGCCCTAGTTTCCAGACGCGCCGTCGTCCTTGAGGGCTTGGAGGGCACTGAAGCCGCCTCAGATGCCAAAGGACATGCGACTTGCGGTGAGGTTTTGGCGTGGAATGTGACGAGCATCGCGGCAAGAATGTTACATTCCCTGAGACTAACTCCGCCTTGACACATCTTGGGCTGGTAGGCAATAAAGAGCCTTCACAGACGTAGCGTTCGGCTTGATTTTATTCTGTACAAGATATAGGCAGGATGTATCGAGAGGAGAAGTTAACAATTCAACGAAGAAGTCATCGAGGCGAGGAATCATACTCGACTCGGGAGCTGCAGCATCATGCCGGATCCCTCACATCATACCTCGGGATCTGCAAATGAGTCGAAGTCACTCATCATCGGGATGAGAATCGACTGCTGAGAAGTATCATCTCTGGGTGACCACTGAAGACGTACATCTCCGTCCTTCTAGCTGCAGACCGCCGCTAGGCATCGTCTAGATACTCGGAGTCTCCCGCCCGCTAGACATGGCCCGCGAGCGGAAAGGCACCGGATCAAGGAGCAGTAACAGGAACTGAGATCACTTGCAGTCAGAATGATATGCCGCATAGCTACTCCCGCGCGTGCGAGTTGACTTCTCGATTGGCACATGGGCAAGAAGAGGTCAGTCATTGCTGGGCCGATGATGGTGTCGTGAGGGTAGGCGAGAACAGCCTGTTGTGGAGAGATCTAGACATACAGGGCATACAAGGCTTCGCTGCGTACACCTAGAATGAGACCACGGCGATGGGGGCATGTGGCATGCACCTTGTTTCTATGGGCTCTGGTTAGCCAGGCCGGCGAAGGAGATCCTGTGGCAGGTGGTCATCGCTTGCATTGAGATTGTGTCTGCACTGGGGAATACTCCTATACTTCTTAATGTGAATGTGTCAACCCTTTGCAAGCAGATCCCGTCAGCAATTGGTGGCAAACTTTGTGCCTACAAGTAGGCGAATTTGGTTTAACGCAGTTCAAAGTGTATATTTCAACGACTCTCGATTGAGAGTACCCTAAGGTAATGCCAGTGGCTCAAAGCGTCGAGTCTAAACCCCGCGTGCGATGAAGAAGAAGTGTATCAGAAGCATTATCCGCAGTCGAGCAGGAGACAGAATGGCAGAGTACAAAAATAACAATTCAATCAGACAACTGGACTATGGCGGCGAATAGGCACTGCCGCCTTTACATCTTGCCCTTGCCCTTCCCGCGAGTCTCCAGCATGGGAAACTCCTCTTGCTCCTGCTGGATACCGAGGCTAGAGAAATCGCCGGCACCATTCTCTTGCAGACTCAGCCGCAAAGCCAGCTCCAAATCATCATCTCGTGGTGCAGGGTGGCTCGCGGATCCAGCACTACTGAGCAAGAGAGCCAACTCAAGGTCGTCGTCCCTAGGCGTGGCTTTGCTGGAAGAACCTGCTTTGGCGCCAGCGATAGGCTTGTAAGTTGCCGGGGGAGACATGGAGGGTGTTCTCTTTGTCGTCTTCTTCGCCGGTTTGGACTTGTACTTGATGGCAAACTCGAAATCACTGGAGCTGTTCTTGCGAGGAGACTGAGCCACATCGTCGGTAGCCTCCATCAGAGAAAGTCGAAGAGCTTGCTGGAGCTGCTGTTCGTACTCGTCTTCTTCCTCAACGACGGGAGGCGGGGGGGTAAAGCCAGTAATACTGGGCTCCGGTGTAACTGTGTCCACGGTACTTTCGCTGAAGGACGATACCGTGTCGAAGCTAGCATCGGCGGCAGAACCAGTGTCGCTGGCACTAGTGCGACGCTGCTCCTCGAGCAGCAGTGTCTCCTGGGATATCATTTCCGCATATTGGAGAGCCTCCTCCTCGGTCAAGTCGCCAAAAGCGCCAACGCCAAATCTGTTGCGCAACCAGGCTTCTTCTTTAATGTCCTGTTCCTCCTCTCGCCGAAGCTCTGCAGTCTCTGCGGCAATGTAGCCAGAAACATTCCCGCCCTGGCGCCTAGTAGCAAGGCGGCCGTGAACATCGGCGTGTCGAAGCCGACGTTTACGACCAGGTGGCTGGTGAGTGGCGCTGTAAGACCAGTAACGCAGGAAGGCCCCGAAAGACGTAATACCACGCAACACAGTAGGATCAGGGTCGAGATAGATGGCTCGAGCAGCTGAGTATGTATCGATCGGGAGCGCAGGGTTCATCGTCATCATGTGACGGGGTACTCGACCGTTGGAACGTCCATTGAGTGTACGGAGCGGCTCGAGCGAAGATGCCAGCGGGTCCCATGCTTGTACCAAGCCATCATTTCCGCCGTGTACCAGATACAAAGCCGTCAAGGCCAGGCAACTGATCTCGGGAGACTCTGTTTGAATGATGCGAAGAGGGGAGATGGTGGACATACTGCGCTGCTCGCGACAGTTCCAGACAACAACTGATCCGTCCTTGGTTCCGACAGCCAGCATACGGGTTCGCCGACCAGGAATTTCTGTCGACGATTCGGCAGTCTGTGGTGTCATTGTAGGAGTGGCAGCAGGTCTGGACCCAAATTGCAGAGGGTCTTCCGTTAATGTGAGAAGTGCGTGTGACGACAAATCAAGAGCCGACGCAGTGATCTCTGAACCTCCATAGTTGCCGAGTGACATTGTAGCAACGGCCCATTCATCCATGGAATTGAGCTTTGCCTGGGGCGTTAGCGAGCCGGACGAGATGGGTGTCACATCGCCCTTAACCACAGCCTTGGTAGGCTTGGGCTGGGACTGAGACTCATGCTTGTAGTCTCTTCCCGATCCAAATATTGACTGCTGCACTGGAGGGACATCCTGATAGACTGCAGCAGTATCTTCCACAGTGTCTGGAGTCTGTCGCGGCGTTTGGGACATGGCTCGGGCATAGCGAGTGACGCTCGGGGGATGTGTCTCCTCCAGCCCGCAATGAATAGAGACAATGACCTCCCCGGCGCCGCCGGCGTCATCGTTCGCAAAGTCGACCTCCAGTCTTCTTCGCATGTCCCAGCCATCACAGACCTTCCGGAAATGTGACGGCTTGTAACGGAGGAATTTTTCAATCTCACGGGCTTCCGCGACGAGTTGCTCTTTACTCAAGTTCATCGCGTCTGCGGGAGATCGAGGCGAATAAGCACCTCGGAGAGCATGCTTGTCGAACTCATCGGGCCGAGCCTGGCGACGGGAGTCGTCGATGAGCCGCCAGTAGACTGAGCGTCCGGCGAACCATGCGTTCTTGGTGACATCTTCGCCTTTAGATCGCTCCAGACTTGTCTTCGGCACGTCGACCAGGTAGAACACCTCTCCCAGGGCATTAAGAGCCACAGCCCATACGCGCTGGGCAGTCTTGCGCTTCTGGGTATACTGATCGTCGACTTTGATTGAGACGATCGGAACACCGGGGCTGAGCACCCATCGCGCTGTCATCTCGCCGTTGGGATGCCGCGGGCCACTTCCGTCTCCGTGGAGCGCATACGTAGTGACGATTCCGAGAGTTGAGCCGGTGATGATCCCGACCGTGGAGTGCGTAATGTTGGGTACAGCAGTGGATTTAGCAACCCAAACGGCCGAAATCGCTTCTGATAGTTCAGGGATCTTGGGAATATCGGGGTAGGTGTCGATTACGCCAGTGTCGCTACCAAGATACCGACCATGCATCTCATTGATCGGGCGGTAGTAGGCACGTCCGCCTGGAAAGCCTTCGCCGGAGAGCATGCCATAGGGCTGGCTGACATCCATGACGTTTGGGCAAGCGGCGGGTCCATCGCCAGCACCATATGGCTCAAGATTGGGAAACACCTCGTCCAGCTGTAGAATAGTGAAAGGGTCTCGGAATCCCCATTTCTCCACCTTGCCAATAAAAGAATCACTCAAGGTCGCGGCACCAAGGTCGGCAGTGCCGTGAATAACCCGGGGAGCCTTCTTGACAGTGAAGTCGGCATGGATGTGGGTCACAGCCCAGGGCAGCTTCGAGTTGTAGGTCAAGACAGCGCTTGTCTTCTTACTGCTTCGGCCAGATGCTCCAATGCCGCCAGGCTTAGCACCTGGTTTACCTCTGATGAGGCCCCTCAAAAGACGGGTTCGTAGGAGATATTCACTTCGCCACGTCGCAAGAGAAGTCAAGCGAGAAAAGTAGCGAGACTCTGAGCGAACGAATTCGAAAGAGTCATGGTCCAAGGGCCCTGCGCGATTCTGCTCGCCAGATTTTGTAGTCAGACTATCGTGACCCGGGAAGAATCGTAAAAAGGCCATTCGCCACGCATGGGGCGTCGTAACGAGCGAGTAGAAACGCTTCGACACCAAAGCTATCGCCGAGTGCGAATCGGGATGTAGGTGAGATAGGACGTGGGTCAACAACTCTACAACCATAGCGTTAGCGGGGGTTCAACTGCGATCCTCTGTCTTGTCCTGCATACCATTTGGAAAGTCTGTCAACTGCACGCTATCGGGTCGATTCTCAGATCGCTTGATGACCTTGAAGCCCAAAGCTTGACGGGGAGTAGACGGGGTTTGCGCATTTTCGTAATCAATCACTCGCTGACCAGCGACGGCTGAATGGCTATCAACAGAAGCTGAATCGTCAAAACTCAGCCGGCGAAGCTTCTCGTCGAGCTGGGCGGCGCTGACGGCGTCGAATGAGTCACGGCGCCCTCCGTCTGGAACAGATCTTGGAGATGCACTGCCTGTCTCTTCGCGGCGAAGGACAGCGACGCCGTTGGGCTGCTGGCGCGAACAAAAGCCATGCTGGACTGAGGTAGTGGTGTCCGAGGGGTTATCTTGTTGATGTTGCGTTTCTGAAGACTCTGTCGGCCAATGTTGCATAAAGCTGTGGAACGGGAGGTCGTGGGCAGGTGGCGGGCGACTGTGCAAGGACAATGTGCACAGTCTTGGGAGATGAAGTTGATATGTTCGAGAGAACAAATTTGCGCGAAATGCGGGAGGATTGCGAATCGATTACGGCTTGAGGGTGTGATAACGTGTCTAATTCGTGTATGGTGCTTAAGTGAAGCTTTTCGTGGTCGCGTTTCGTGACGAAATGGCCTACAGTCGCGGGAGATTGCGGCGATGGAACATCCCCGGGCCGGTGCTTATCAGT